GCCGCGCCGTTCCGCTCGCGTCGCCGGCGACGCTTCGGGGTCGTACGTGTTTGGCCGCTCGGCACGCGTCACCGCGGGCGTCCCGCCGCCCTGCGGGCCGCCGGAGGTCACGGCGCTGTCGTTCTGGAACATGGTGGTCCCGAGCTGCCCGGCCGAGGCCTGCGGGGGCGCCGCCTGCTGCCCGGACCGGGCGCGAGGTGTCGCGCCGCCGCCGGATCGCGGGGTCGCCGTCGGGCGCTGCTGGGCGCCGGCCGTCGGCGGGCCCGACGTCGCGGACTCGTCGCCACCGCCGATCGAGGGCACGATCACCGCCGCCGCGGCGATCACGCCGATGGCTCCGACTGCCACGATGACTCCAGTCCGCATGCCGCTCCTCTCGTCCCTGTGGGCTCGATTCCGCCGGTTGTACCGGCCCGGAGCCCGGTTGGGCGCACTCCATACTATTCGGTTCACGCGATCGGACGGTTCGACTCTTTGACCGTTGCTCCCCCCTCACACCCCCCATACACTTGCAGTCGGCCTCTCCTCCCCCGAAATCACAGCCGAGAACCGCGATGACCACCATGGCAGACACCAAGAACACCCCCAGCGCCCAGCTCTCCGACGAGACCCTCATCGGCTGGCTCCGCGACATGCTCAACATCCGCGAGTTCGAGCTCCGCACCATGGCCGCCTACCAGCAGGCCAAGATCGGCGGCTTCTGCCATATCTATATTGGCCAGGAATCCGTCGTCGTCGGCACCTTCGCCGCGCTGAACCACGACGACCCGATCGTCACCGCCTACCGCGACCACGGCCACGCCCTGGCCCGCGGGATGGACCCCGGCGCGTGCATGGCCGAGATGTACGGCAAGATCACGGGGTGCGCCAAGGGCAAGGGCGGGTCGATGCACATGTTCGACAAGCCCAACTGGCTCTTCGGCGGCCACGGCATCGTCGGCGCCCAGACGCCCCTCGGCGCGGGCCTCGCCTTCGCGAGCCGCTACCACCATGAAGTGATCGGCGATGGCCCCAAGAAGGTCACCCTCTGCTTCCTGGGCGACGGCGCGCTCAACCAGGGCGCCCTCCACGAGGCGATGAACCTCGCCGGCCTCATGGGCCTGCCCGTCATCTACATCGTCGAGAACAACGGCTACTCCATGGGCACGTCCATCGGACGCGGCACGACGATGGCGGACAAGCTCTACAAAAAGGCGGAGGCGTACGGCATCGAGCACCGCACGATCGACGGCCTGAACATCCTGAACCTCTACGACGAGTTCAAGCCCTTCGCGGACATCCTCCGCGAGGAGCAGCGCCCCGGCTTCGTCGACCTCAAGACGTACCGCTACCAGGGCCACTCCATGTCCGACCCGCAGAAATACCGCACGAAGGAAGAGGTCGCGGAGTTCAAAGAGCGCGACTGCGTCGACACCCTCGCGCACCACCTCCTGAGCGAGCGCGGCTGCCTGAGCGAGGACGAGTTCAAGCAGATGCAGAAGGAAGCGAAGGACATCGCGAAGAACGCGGTGAAGTTCGCCGAAAGCTCCGAGGACCCGGACCCGGAGACCGAGCTCTACTCGGATGTGTTCGTCAACCCGCAGAAAGGGCTCTCGCCGAGCGGGGAGTACGTTGAGGGTGTGAAGAATCCGCTGCTGTGATGATGGCATCAAAGCCGCATATCATTCTTGATTGGGGTTGGCTGCAATCACGCCCATTTCCCGTAAAGCTAAACGATGGCTATACGTGGATTTTTCCAGACGTGGCTTTGCGTGAATTGTCTTATAAAAAAGACGATAAAGTTGAAGGCTATGTAAAAAAGCTTCTTGATACAATCGAACTAAACAGAAATGTCTTAAAATATGGCGGAGCATATTGGTTTGATTTAGAGAAAAAACAAAAGTCGCCCAAGTGGAATATTGGTCCGCGTGACATAATCAATACGCGTAGCACAAATTGGTTCTGTTCTTTGTGTAGCATGGATTTGGGCCGATTCATTGAAGACAGAAATGGACTTCTTGCGGAATACGACGACCCATACGAACGTCATCGTACTATCTATGGAGAGTATGCCGCGATATGGTCTGATGCCATGAAAAAGCACGACCACAGTCGTGCAAACAGGCTGGCGGGCAGTTCGGATATGCAAGATTTTTTGGTCACTAATCCAGGCTCTATCTTGCCTATATTGAAGCAGTTGAATTATTCAAAGTACACAAGTAAGAAATGGCATGGCGCAGTGAAAAGGCGGGAATGGACACCGGCAGCGCATTTTTGTCAAGCAATCGTTTATTTCACTATGCGATCATTAGCCGGCAGTCGTGATTCAAACGATTGGGATGATGCCCAGTATGCAATGCTCTCGTGCTATACAGGATATTTAGCGACCAAGGATCGTTCCTTGAAGCGATTGGCAGCCTTAATGAATCCCTCGGTAGTGATAATTGATGACTAGCAGTGCCGGTTAATAATTGATTGCAAGGCAGTCGTATCATTGTGGCAGAGAATGAATGGCAATTTTTTTAACATTGAGCTGGAGTTGCTTTGGGGAGTGTGTCAGAAATGGAAAATCACCGAACTCTCACTCTTCGGCTCTGTACTGAGAGACGACTTCCGCCCGGACAGCGATGTAGACGTGCTGCTCGTTTTCGCGGACGATGCGGAATGGAGCTATTTCGATTGGCCCGCGCTGCAGGATGACCTGAGCGAGATCTTCTGGGGCCGGGATATCCACATCACAGAGCGAAAATCGCTGATCAACCCGTTTCGACGCAACGAGATCATCAAGACCAGAAAAGTGCTGTACACCGCCTGAGCGAGACGAACCATGACCACCGCCACCGCAACCCCCCAGACCTTCCCCCCGACTTACACCGAGCCCCCGCGCGACGGAGACCGCATTATCCAGTTCCGCGAGGCGCTGCGTGAGGCGATGTCCGAGGAGATGCGCAAGGACCCGCGCATCTTCCTCATGGGCGAGGAGGTCGCGGAGTACAACGGCGCGTACAAGGTCTCCGAGGGCATGCTCGACGAGTTCGGGCCCAAGCGCATCATCGACACGCCCATCTCCGAGTCCGGGTTCGCCGGACTCGGCGTCGGTGCCGCGATGTACGGGCTCAGGCCCATCATCGAGTTCATGAGCTGGTCCTTCTCCCTCGTCGCGGCCGACCCGATCCTGAACAACGTCCCGAAGATGCTCTACATGTCCGGCGGGCAGTGGGGGTGCCCCTGCGTCTTCCGAGGAAACGACGGCGCCGGCGGCCAGCTCGGCTCGACCCACTCCTGGTGCGTCGAGGCGTTGTTCTCCAACGTCCCGGGCATGAAGATCGCCATCCCGTCCAACCCCTACGACGCCAAGGGCCTGCTCAAGACCGCCATCGTGGACGACGACCCCGTCTTCTTCCTCGAGTCCGAGCGCATGCTGGGCGACAAGGCCCACGTCCCCGAGGAGGAGTACTACATCCCCTTCGGCAAGGCCCATAAGACCCGCGAGGCTTCCGGGGGGGGCGACATCACACTCGTCTCCTTCGGCCGCCCGGTCCACTTCTGCATGGAGGCCGCGGAGATGCTGGCGGAGGACGGCATCGAGTGCGACGTCCTGGACATGCGCACCGTCCGCCCGCTCGATATGGACTCGATCCTGGAATCGCTCGCGAAGACGAATCGCGTGGTCGTGGTCGACCAGTCCTGGCCCTTCGGTTCTGTCGCGTCCGAGGTGATCACGCAGATCATCGAGAAGGGCTTCGACCTGCTCGACCACCAGCCGATCCGCGTGAACTCGGACGACGTCCCGACGCCGTACGCGAAGCCGCTGGAGCAGGCGTACCTGCCGCATAAGGGGAAAATCGTCGCGGCCGTGAAGCGGTGCCTGGAGATCTGAGCGATGAGCTACGACCTCGCCGTCTGGCACACGCCGAGACCCAGTGACAAAGAACACGCGGTGCGGATTCTCTCCGCGATCGCGGAGCACGACGGCTCGCAGGTGAAGCCGCACCCCGCCTTCGACGCTTTCATGGCCGAGATCACGACGGACTACAGGGAACTCCACCTCGTCCCCGAGGACGAGATCGACGACTGCCCTTGGAATACCGGGCCGCTCGACCGGGTCGACGGCGGCGCGTATCTCACGATCGCGTGGTCGCGGGCCGAGGAGATGCACGAGTACGTCCTCCGCATCGCCGCCAAGCACGGCCTCGTCGTGTACGACCTGCAGGCCGACGAGACGATTTTTCCCGAGCCGCAGCCCGACAGCCCGACGAAGGGCAAGCCGTGGTGGAGGTTTTGGTAAGGGGCTTCAGATTCTCTGGACGGCTTTCTTTAAACGTATGTGTCGGTTCGTTCGCTCTGCCGTCGAGTGGAGGCCCTGAGCGTTGCTGAAACGATTTTTGCTCGCGAATCGATGTTGAATACCTACACTGGACCGGTATGACCGATCAGCCCGAGCCCATTCCCAACGGCCACCCCCGCATCGTCTCCACCCCCGACATCTGCGGCGGCCGCCCGCGTATCGACGGGACGCGTGTCCGCGTGATCGATGTTCTTGACATGCTCGCCTCGGGCATGAGTGATCAGGACATCATCCGCGACTACCCCTACATCACGCGCGAGGGCATCGAGGCTTGCCTGAAGTACGTCCGCCGGTTCGCTGATGTTCCGACGCTGGGCTCGACCGGATGATCGCACGCACGGCGCGCACGTTCTGGATCGATGAGAACCTGCCGCCCCTGCTGGCGGATTGGATCGGGAAGCAGCCAGAAACCAATGCCGTGCATTTTCGCGATCTGGGCTTCTCACAGACCCCAGACCGGGAGGTGTTCTCCAGGGCGCGAGAGGCCGGTGCCGTGCTCGTCAGCAAGGACGAGGACTTCGCGCAGCTCGTGACGACCCTCGGCCCGCCGCCGCAGGTCGTGTGGGTCCGCCTGGGGAACTGCAAAACGGGGGATCTGCTCGCGAATTTCGAGCGTCATTTCGATTCTCTCCGCGGTCTTCTGGACGACGGAAACCCCCTGATTGCTCTAGAATCCTGACGTTCGCACTTCCCCCCTGAAATCGGACTGCCGGAGCACCACGGATGGCCATTGAAATCACCATGCCTCGCCTTTCCGACACGATGGAACAAGGCACGATCGTGTCCTGGAACGTGAAAGAGGGCGATGAGGTTTCCGCCGGCGACGTTCTCGGCGACATCGAGACCGACAAAGCCACCATGGAGCTCCAGAACTTCGACGACGGCGTCGTCGCCCTGATCCTGCTTGCCGAGGGCAAGACCACCGAGGTCGGCTCCGTCATGGCGGTGCTGGCCGAGGACGGGGAGGACCCGGCTGAGGTGAAGTCGAAGTACGAATCCGGCGGGGGCGCGTCCTCGGGCGGGTCGGCGAAGAAGGAGCAGGCCGAAGCCGGGGGCGACTCGTCCTCCACCTCCACGGCCACCGCCACCGCGACGCCCTCCAACGGCACCGCCTCCTCGTCCGATGTCCCGAACACCGGCGTGTCCGCCGGCGGCGGCGGGCGGATCCTGGCCTCGCCCCTCGCGAAGAAGATCGCGGAAGAAAAAGGCATCGACCTCTCCACCATCCAGGGCACCGGCCCGGGCGGGCGGATCGTGAAGAAGGACGTCGAGGGCGCCCAGGCCGGGGGCGGCCGCCAGCTCGCCGCACCGGCGCCGCAGGCCCAGCAGCAGGGCGGCTCCGCGCTCCGACGCGTCGATTCCCCCGCGCCCAGCGCCGCCGCGCCGACACCCTCCGTTGAACTCGCGGTCCCCGACACGCAGCTCGCCGACCAGATCGTCCCGCTCTCGAACATGCGGAACACGATCGCCAAGCGCCTCGTCGAGTCCAAGCAGAACGTCCCGCACTACCAGGTGACGGTCACGGTCGCAATGGACACCCTCATGGACCTGCGCAAGAACCTCAACAAGCAGCTCGAGTCCCAGAGCGTCAAACTCTCGGTCAACGACTTCCTCGTCCGCGCCTGCGGCCTCGCGATGCACCGCCACCCCTTCATCAACGCGAGCTGGGGCGACGACAACCAGTCCATCCACATCCACGGCCGCGTGAATATCGGCGTCGCCATCGCCATGACGCACAAGGCCGAGGGCGGCCTCGTCGTCGCGACCATTCGCGACGCGGACCGCATCGGCCTCCGCCAGATCTCCGCCGAGACGAAACGCCTCGCGGACAAGTCCCGCGAGAAGGGCCTCTCCATCGAGGAGATGTCCGACTCGACGTTCACTATTTCCAACCTCGGGATGTTCGGCGTCGAGCACTTCACGGCCATCATCAACCCGCCCAACAGCGCGATCCTGGCGGTGGGCGGGGCGGTGAACAAGCCCGTCGTCCGTGACGGCGCGGTCGTCCCGGGCTGGGAGATGCAGATGACCATGTCATCCGACCACCGCGTGATCGACGGCGCCATGGCCGCGGCCTACCTGGGCACGGTGCGCGAGTACCTCGAGAACCCGGCCGGCCTGCTCGTTTGAGCAGAGCGAAAAACCCACCCGGAAGCCCGGTTTCGGGAATACTTCTGGCCCGCCGTCGGATGTCCATCTAGGATGACCGAGGTATCGGACCGCCATCCGGGAGCGCACGCATGAGGCGACGCCAGCCAGGATTCACGCTCATCGAGCTGTTGGTGACGATCGCGATCATCGCGATCCTGATCG